GTCTTCTTAATCTATGACTAGGGACAAGAATAGTTGACTTGGTGACGGTTAACATGTTACATGTAGAAAAAGAAACAAGTGATCACAAAACATATAGTTTTATATATGGGTTGGTCGTTAACAAAAAAATCTTGTTTGATATTATACATATAAGTATATAAACTTAAATAGATTACATATAAACCAGTCTTCTTAATCTATGACTAGGGACAAGAATAGTTGACTTGGTGACGGTTAACATGTTACATGTAGAAAAAGAAACAAGTGATCACAAAACATATAGTTTTATATATGGGTTGGTCGTTAACAAAAAAATCTTGTTTGATATTATACATATAAGTATATAAACTTAAATAGATTACATATAAACAAAAAAATCTTGTTTGATATTATACATATAAGTATATAAACTTAAATAGATTACATATAAACCAGTCTTCTTAATCTATGACTAGGGACAAGAATAGTTGACTTGGTGACGGTTAACATGTTACATGTAGAAAAAGAAACAAGTGATCACAAAACATATAGTTTTATATATGGGTTGGTCGTTAACAAAAAAATCTTGTTTGATATTATACATATAAGTATATAAACTTAAATAGATTACATATAAACAAAAAAATCTTGTTTGATATTATACATATAAGTATATAAACTTAAATAGATTACATATAAACAAAAAAATCTTGTTTGATATTATACATATAAGTATATAAACTTAAATAGATTACATATAAACCAGTCTTCTTAATCTATGACTAGGGACAAGAATAGTTGACTTGGTGACGGTTAACATGTTACATGTAGAAAAAGAAACAAGTGATCACAAAACATATAGTTTTATATATGGGTTGGTCGTTAACAAAAAAATCTTGTTTGATATTATACATATAAGTATATAAACTTAAATAGATTACATATAAACCAGTCTTCTTAATCTATGACTAGGGACAAGAATAGTTGACTTGGTGACGGTTAACATGTTACATGTAGAAAAAGAAACAAGTGATCACAAAACATATAGTTTTATATATGGGTTGGTCGTTAACAAAAAAATCTTGTTTGATATTATACATATAAGTATATAAACTTAAATAGATTACATATAAACCAGTCTTCTTAATCTATGACTAGGGACAAGAATAGTTGACTTGGTGACGGTTAACATGTTACATGTAGAAAAAGAAACAAGTGATCACAAAACATATAGTTTTATATATGGGTTGGTCGTTAACAAAAAAAATCTTGTTTGATATTATACATATAAGTATATAAACTTAAATAGATTACATATAAACCAGTCTTCTTAATCTATGACTAGGGACAAGAATAGTTGACTTGGTGACGGTTAACATGTTACATGTAGAAAAAGAAACAAGTGATCACAAAACATATAGTTTTATATATGGGTTGGTCGTTAACAAAAAAATCTTGTTTGATATTATACATATAAGTATATAAACTTAAATAGATTACATATAAACCAGTCTTCTTAATCTATGACTAGGGACAAGAATAGTTGACTTGGTGACGGTTAACATGTTACATGTAGAAAAAGAAACAAGTGATCACAAAACATATAGTTTTATATATGGGTTGGTCGTTAACAAAAAAATCTTGTTTGATATTATACATATAAGTATATAAACTTAAATAGATTACATATAAACAAAAAAATCTTGTTTGATATTATACATATAAGTATATAAACTTAAATAGATTACATATAAACCAGTCTTCTTAATCTATGACTAGGGACAAGAATAGTTGACTTGGTGACGGTTAACATGTTACATGTAGAAAAAGAAACAAGTGATCACAAAACATATAGTTTTATATATATGGGTTGGTCGTTAACAAAAAAATCTTGTTTGATATTATACATATAAGTATATAAACTTAAATAGATTACATATAAACCAGTCTTCTTAATCTATGACTAGGGACAAGAATAGTTGACTTGGTGACGGTTAACATGTTACATGTAGAAAAAGAAACAAGTGATCACAAAACATATAGTTTTATATATGGGTTGGTCGTTAACAAAAAAATCTTGTTTGATATTATACATATAAGTATATAAACTTAAATAGATTACATATAAACCAGTCTTCTTAATCTATGACTAGGGACAAGAATAGTTGACTTGGTGACGGTTAACATGTTACATGTAGAAAAAGAAACAAGTGATCACAAAACATATAGTTTTATATATGGGTTGGTCGTTAACAAAAAAATCTTGTTTGATATTATACATATAAGTATATAAACTTAAATAGATTACATATAAACCAGTCTTCTTAATCTATGACTAGGGACAAGAATAGTTGACTTGGTGACGGTTAACATGTTACATGTAGAAAAAGAAACAAGTGATCACAAAACATATAGTTTTATATATGGGTTGGTCGTTAACAAAAAAATCTTGTTTGATATTATACATATAAGTATATAAACTTAAATAGATTACATATAAACCAGTCTTCTTAATCTATGACTAGGGACAAGAATAGTTGACTTGGTGACGGTTAACATGTTACATGTAGAAAAAGAAACAAGTGATCACAAAACATATAGTTTTATATATGGGTTGGTCGTTAACAAAAAAATCTTGTTTGATATTATACATATAAGTATATAAACTTAAATAGATTACATATAAACAAAAAAAAATCTTGTTTGATATTATACATATAAGTATATAAACTTAAATAGATTAAATATAAACAAAAAAATCTTGTTTGATATTATACATATAAGTATATAAACTTAAATAGATTACATATAAACAAAAAAATCTTGTTTGATATTATACATATAAGTATATAAACTTAAATAGATTACATATAAACCAGTCTTCTTAATCTATGACTAGGGACAAGAATAGTTGACTTGGTGACGGTTAACATGTTACATGTAGAAAAAGAAACAAGTGATCACAAAACATATAGTTTTATATATGGGTTGGTCGTTAACAAAAAAATCTTGTTTGATATTATACATATAAGTATATAAACTTAAATAGATTACATATAAACCAGTCTTCTTAATCTATGACTAGGGACAAGAATAGTTGACTTGGTGACGGTTAACATGTTACATGTAGAAAAAGAAACAAGTGATCACAAAACATATAGTTTTATATATGGGTTGGTCGTTAACAAAAAAATCTTGTTTGATATTATACATATAAGTATATAAACTTAAATAGATTACATATAAACCAGTCTTCTTAATCTATGACTAGGGACAAGAATAGTTGACTTGGTGACGGTTAACATGTTACATGTAGAAAAAGAAACAAGTGATCACAAAACATATAGTTTTATATATGGGTTGGTCGTTAACAAAAAAATCTTGTTTGATATTATACATATAAGTATATAAACTTAAATAGATTACATATAAACCAGTCTTCTTAATCTATGACTAGGGACAAGAATAGTTGACTTGGTGACGGTTAACTATTACATGTAGAAAAAGAAACAAGTGATCACAAAACATATAGTTTTATATATGGGTTGGTCGTTAACAAAAAAATCTTGTTTGATATTATACATATAAGTATATAAACTTAAATAGATTACATATAAACCAGTCTTCTTAATCTATGACTAGGGACAAGAATAGTTGACTTGGTGACGGTTAACATGTTACATGTAGAAAAAGAAAAACAAGTGATCACAAAACATATAGTTTTATATATGGGTTGGTCGTTAACAAAAAAATCTTGTTTGATATTATACATATAAGTATATAAACTTAAATAGATTACATATAAACCAGTCTTCTTAATCTATGACTAGGGACAAGAATAGTTGACTTGGTGACGGTTAACATGTTACATGTAGAAAAAGAAACAAGTGATCACAAAACATATAGTTTTATATATGGGTTGGTCGTTAACAAAAAAATCTTGTTTGATATTATACATATAAGTATATAAACTTAAATAGATTATATATAAACCAGTCTTCTTAATCTATGACTAGGGACAAGAATAGTTGACTTGGTGACCGTTAACATGTTACATGTAGAAAAAGAAACAAGTGATCACAAAACATATAGTTTTATATATGGGTTGGTCGTTAACAAAAAAATCTTGTTTGATATTATACATATAAGTATATAAACTTAAATAGATTACATATAAACCAGTCTTCTTAATCTATGACTAGGGACAAGAATAGTTGACTTGGTGACGGTTAACATGTTACATGTAGAAAAAGAAACAAGTGATCACAAAACATATAGTTTTATATATGGGTTGGTCGTTAACAAAAAAATCTTGTTTGATATTATACATATAAGTATATAAACTTAAATAGATTACATATAAACAAAAAAATCTTGTTTGATATTATACATATAAGTATATAAACTTAAATAGATTACATATAAACCAGTCTTCTTAATCTATGACTAGGGACAAGAATAGTTGACTTGGTGACGGTTAACATGTTACATGTAGAAAAAGAAACAAGTGATCACAAAACATATAGTTTTATATATGGGTTGGTCGTTAACAAAAAAATCTTGTTTGATATTATACATATAAGTATATAAACTTTAATAAATTAAATATAGACCAGTCGTATCAAATCACTCCTGAGTTGACAAGAAGGTTAACATGTAGAATGAAAGAAAGAAGTGTACCTGAAATTAATAGTTTTATTGAAATATGTTAGTTGTTAACGAACAATTTTATATTTCTGTTGTTGAAAGACTATCAACAAGGTTACACAGATAATTCTAACATCATATTACAATAAATGTAAATCTCATTCCACTTTTATCATATAAATATACTTCAATAACTTATAGGACATAATATAAGAGTTATTTCAACACATCAATAGTATGAAACCTTTTTCTTGTTATGTCCATTATATTACAATAAATGATAATCTCATGAATGTACTTCAATAACTTATAGGACATATTTTTTGGTTATTTCAACCCATGAATAGTTTTTTAAACCTGTTTCTTGTTCCCAGGTGTGACGAAGGGCGCTCGTCACAAGATCCTGTTGTCCATCGCTCGTCTGTCAGACCGGTCGTCTATTCTTGAGTCAGTTCGTGCGGAGCTGTCGTCGGGTCGCGTGTGTCGCGCCCTGGAGCGTCTCCGCGGGGTGCTCCTCTCACCCATGCCGCCGGGGGACCTGCCCCGAGCCGTGGTCGCAGCCCTACAACACGGTACATACACATACTACACATATATACATACATATATCGTCGGAGATAGTGCAAATCCGCGTAACTACCTGTAGTGTATGTATCTATTATATAGATATAATACACTGTCTCACGTACCACTCTGGAGGGGGTGGCTGCGCTCGGCAGTCTAATGACTAGCGCGGAGTGGAGCGGTAGCGTGCGCCTGCGCTCTAGGCGGGGTAGTAGTGGGCCAGTGACGGGTTATACTTACATGTAGGACCAGGGATCCTACACTACCCTTGGATAATGAGATCTAAGATTTTTTTCAAGTACTCATTTAAATGAAACTAATATTTTCGGATTTTACTTCGCGTTTTTTATTTTTGACTATAAAATACATACTCCCGACGTTTCGGTTACTTTTCAGCAACCGTGATCACGGGCAGACGAGATGTCCCTTGGATAATTCCGCATACCTACATTGAAAGCAGATTATCAGAAGAAATTTTAATTATTTTCTATATTAACGACTTTTAAGATGTATTTCACAATTAGTAAATAATTAAACACTAAATAATTTCTAATTTTGAATTACCTTAAAAGTTAATTTAGAAAATATTTCAGCTCAAACTTTTTTCTGATTTGCCTCCAATGTAGATACGCGGATGCACTATCCCTGACGTAAACTTTAACTCAATATATCTCTCTGGTGTAACAGAAATCATTCTTTATTTAGTGTCATTTACTTATATCTCTTTCGTCACATATATTGAAGTATATTGTTGTATGTTTCAGCGTCCGAGTGTCTGTCAGGCGGCGCGGGGTCCGTGGTCGCTGAGAACGAGCCCGAGACCGTTGACCCCATGTCGCTGCACTGCTGGCTCATAGAGAAGGTTACTATATATATCTTTATATATATAATCCTTCTGTGAGTGTGTATGTCACTGAACTTCACTCAAACGACTGGACCTATTTTGATGAATTTTTTTGTGTATGTTCAAGGGGACCTGGGAATGGTTTAGATTCACAATTTTGTCCGCTGGACAATGTTTTTTAATTGATTTTAATTTATTAGTAGTTGTTGATACAAACGTTTTTTTTTGACATTAGATTTGGCAGCTACCTAATATGTCAATCATTCTGTCGCACTTCAAAACATGGAGATTTATGTCTTTAATAGGTAAAATCCAAAAATATAAAAAAAAACGTAACACATATTTCTTGATTATAGGGTAATATGAAGTTTGCCGGGTCTTCTAGTAAAAAAATAAAAAATTAAGAAAGCATGCGTATGACAAAATAGAGTTATGTTTTGAATCAGTGACGTAAATATATGTACAATTTCAAGCAGTATAAGTAAAGATAACAAAAATTGAAGCGCATTACTCAACTGTAAAATTATAGGGTATTTTTTCAAAGCACTTTATTAATTAAAGGAACTGATCTGTTTTTATATTACAGTGTGCGTTTAACATTATATTCCTGTATTGTTTTTCGTCCGTTTTAACTTGCGAAATATATGCGAGGGAAATGTATTTTATACACACGATTAATATCCTACAAAAAACCAAATACTTATGTAGTTCTCCATTGGGTAAGGAGAAAAAGGCTGTTATAGAGAAGTGAAAACCAAACAGGACTTTATAGTTTTTGGATATGACAAAGAGTTTAGGAGCAGTGTCATTATTTGTGGATAGGTTTATTTATTGACAATATTTTGAGAATTACAATAAGTAACATAAAAACAAAATTGGGCACCACCTCACCTTCTGTATAGTTGCTATTAATATTTGGTGATAAATACTTATACATTTTTGAATAAATAAAGAAATATAATATCAGCTGAAAGTATGTTCTTTTGACTACAGATATAGATCGTATACAATTTTCAATTTTTCCTCTTGATATCAAATATCAAGATATCAATAATCAAGAAATATCTGTTACGTTTTTTATTTATATTTTTGGAGTTTACCTATTAAAGTCATAAATCTCCGTGTTTTGAAGTGCGACAGAATGATTGACATATTAGTTAGTTGTCAAATCTAATGTCAAAAAAAACGTTTGTATCAACAAGTACTAATACACTAAAAATTAATTAAAAAAACATTGTCCAGCCGACAAAATTGTGAATCTAAACAATTCCCAGATCCCCTTGAACACACACAAAAAATTTCATCGAAATCGGTCCATTCGTTTGAGAGAAGTTCAGTGACATACACACTCACAGAAGAATCTTTATAAATATAATTCTACGAATTGATACGATGTTCGCCGGGTCTTCTAGCATATATATATGTATAATGTGTGTGTGTGTGACGTAACCAGTCTCATCACCTCCTCCCCCCAGGCTCTGCACCACGAGTCGTTCTCGTGTCCGTCTCTCCAGTCGTCGCTCCGCTGTCTCCGGCACCGCGTCCCGCCGCGCCAGTTCTTCCATCTAGTGGGTGACGCGCCCCACAGACGACTGAAGCCGCGCTGGCGCGCCCCGGCCGCCGCCCGCCGCCGCTGGGCGCCGCCCGCCCGCCCTAAGTCAAACTCATACCCGCCGTTCCCGCCCCAACTAGTGCCGCCGCCGCCTCACGACTATTCAAGCCTGGACGCGCTCTGCCTGCAAATGACGGAAACAGCCATAGACTAGGCCACGCCCCTCTCTCTCCCTCAACCAATGACCGACAAGCCGTTACTAGTAGTAACAGCGCGTGACGTCACCGCTGTCTGTGTGTGTGTATGTATGTGCGTGTGTGAGTGTCATCAATCGAAGGATCACATCGACATTTGTTATATAACGTGTCCGTCGTAAGTCGTAGCGGTGTGTGTGAACGCTGGTAATGTTTTCGGTGCTATGCGGACTGTTGTTTGTGTTAGAGCTAGCCTTGTTTTAGACACACTGGGTAATATAGCAGAGCTTATACTAGGTCGGCCTAGCGACGGACGAGGCGGTCCGATCATACGACATATATATAGAGATATATAGATATATATATAGATATACATAGATATATAGTTAGTAGTGACTAGCGGCCGTGTCGCGGCCCGGTTGACTGGATCAATGTTGATTGTAACCTGTGCAATGTTTATGTTATGTACTGTCTGTGCGTGTTGACGACTCATGTATTTATTACACACTGAATGAAACTATTATATTAATTTATTGTTTTATTTCTGTGCGCGTCTCGTGTGCGTGTGTGTCTGTGTGTGTGTGTGTGCGCGTGTCTGTGTGTGTGTCTGTCTGTTAGTTTCGTTCTTCGTTCTGTTCTCATCTCATCTGTGATAAGTCGTTTCATCTTTATGTACAATATATATATATTTAATAAATGATTAATTACACTTTTTGAATTATACAGATAATGTTACTGTTAGTTTTTTATTAAATACATTTTTAATGAACCGCTTTGTTCCCTTCTCATATTGTTTCCTTTCTTTACATGATCCTTTAACTTGAAAACCATATGTTGTGTCTTCATATTTCATTTTAAAACAAAAATTTACCATTTTACATAATTGTACATTTGTTTTTACCGTAGATGGCGTTATAGTCAAAATAAATTATTATGCTTTTGTACAGAATATAAAAGAATTGACAATATTCTGAGTAATATAATATATATACAAATAAATCATTATTGTACGATTAAAAATAAACAATTAGTTTATATGTAGTGGCGTCATATTTAATGTGTTAAACATTAATCTTTTATCGATCTGAGATATCATCAGCTCATGCACAAAATGAACCACTCCTTGATTATTTTCTTTCATCTATCATTATAATATATATGAATACTAGTTTGTACCCGCGACTTCTGAATTTTACTTGGAGAAAAGTAGTGTTAAAACAATATTTCAGAATAAGTTACAGTCTTTATCTTATTCTTACTTGTGAGCTACAACACTAAAGTTTCATTATATCCGTTCAGTGATTATTGCATGAAGAAACAAATAACGGCCATAGAACCTTAATGGCGTAAGATTTCTTTCTCTCTAATGTAGTAAGTTGGAATAAATAAAATAATGTTTTTGTTTTAAACCAGAAGACAAAATATGGGAAGTTTGCAACCAAAAGTTTACAAGGATGAAGGGTAGAGTCATAGTAATATAGTATTGAAATAGTCAAATAATGGAGATATGATGTTATAACACGTGACACACTGACATATTTTTGAGGTACAATTGGTCTTGATTCTTCTTTAGTTAGTGGCGTTTCCTTATAGATTTCTCCAGTATCGTGTGCGGATATTATACTGAACAATGAAAAGAGGGATTTGTGAATGAACAAGGTGTCTTGATTCTTAATATTTAACGTTTATTCCAGTAACGTCCTACAAATTAGCTGAAGCCAGTATTTATAATTTTCAAATACAGGTTGATAATAAAATGTTGCCATTACAAAATTAGAATTATAACTATTACAATTAATTATAATCAGTTATAAAGATAATGCTAAGGATTATAGTATACATTTAGAATTCTAAAAAAAAACATTAAAAAATATAATTGTATTATAAAGCCAATACTTTTAAATAACATATCAAACCTTAATTTTTTTTTTTATGTTAAAGGTGGCAAACGAGCAGACGGCCCACTTGATGGAAGGTGGTTACCGCCGCCCATGGACATCCGCAACATCTTTGTTACGGATGCGTTGCCAACCTTGTTTTTTAGGGATAGGGAGGGGTGGAATAAGGAAATACAAGGAAAGGTTGGGAAAAGGGAAAGGGCAACCGGCTCTCTCACTCATCGGACGAAACGCAGCCATTAATGGCTACTTTACGCCGATCTTCTGTGAGAGGGTGGTACTTCCCCGGTCGAGCCAGCCCATGTTTGAGCTGTAGTAACTGACTACAGCTAGGCTCTACCACCTAAACCACCTCCTAATTAGAACAAACACATTGTAATCTTAAACCAAAACACCTTATATAAATTCAATTTACAAATTCTTTCCCGCGTAAAAGTGAGCAAACCAAATGTCATCGTTTATCGTCACTTCGGGTGCGTTCAGGAATTTAAAGGTTTTTTTCAAATTGAAATCCCTCAATATACTATAACTACTAGGGCACAGATGGCGTCACTTGTAACAAAATGTCCTGCAAAGTGGCTGAAGCCAGTATTTATAGCTTTCAAATGCAAATTCATAAAAAACGTTGCTATTACAAAATTAACATAGGCTCAGTAATATAATTTATAAACAATTACTAATTTTGTTTTCAATGCAATTAAAAGATGTTTATATCCTTAGTACATATATAACTTAAATTTATAATCAGATTCCCACAATTATAACTCAGAAATATCCAAAGGTACAATTACCTATTAGGTATTAATTATAATCAGTGAAAAATAGAAATGATTGTAGTACAGAAGAAGAATTATAGTATATAGTATATTTAAATTAGTACGACATAGATGGCGGCACTTGCAACATCATATACTTACCTAGTAAACTTAAAAAATAACCTTGTACTTTTTAAGTTTTTTTCTGCTTAAAAAAGTTATTTTGTAAGGTGATAGAGCCGTGGTAGAGACTAGCTGTAATCAAGTTACTATAGCTCGAGCATGTGCTGGCTCGACCGGGGAAATACCACCCTCTCACAGAAGATCGGCGTGAAGTAGCCTTTAATGGCTGCGTTTTCTCCGATGAGTGAGAGAGCCGGTTGCCCTTGACCTTATCCCTCCCTTTCATCCCCTTCCTCCACAATCAAGGGTGATAACTCATCTTTTTTCTTAATTATTTATTTATTTACTTTTTTGTATAAAAATTAACAAATAATATCTTGCCAAACTCGAGAGTTTGTAGGCAAGAATCGCTCATTAAACAATTATTAACCTATTTTTTACTTATAAAAACATTCTAACATTAATATACATACTACTTTACTAACAATTATGATTTTAAATGAAAATATTTAAAACAAGTAAATAATAAAATACTAAATAACTTAAAAATAATTACTTATATCAACAATTTAGCATTAAACAATGTAAAATATCGCAAAATAATAACAAATAAAAACGAAGAACCTTAAAACTATTACAACTGAATAAATATATAAGTAAGTACAAGCAGAAACACAGTAAAAGCATGAACAAAGATAAAAACAACAAAATTTAAAACTACTTACAATAATTTGGCATTAAACAATAAATAATAAAGCAAAATAGTAATAAATAAAAAAAAACCTTAAGAACTATTTCAACCGAATAAAAATATATAGGCAAAAATACAGTAAAAGCGAAAACAAAGAAAAAATAAATTAAAAAAAAAAAAAAAAACTTAAAACTATTTACAACAGATTTATCTATTCCAATACCTTATCTAATTGTTTAAGGTAAAACTCTCTAAGTTTTAACTTTAATACCGTCTTACTAACTTCACTCAGTGTGAGGCTGTTAATTTTTAAAAATTTTTGGTACCATACACCTTGTTGTTCTGCAAAACTATGTTGTGAATGTCCATGAGTGACGGTACTACCTCCATCAGATTGGCCGTCATAAAAATATATTTTTAATACGAAAGCCTTTAGATTAATACCTATAATAAAAAAGTACTTAATTTAATACACAAAGCTGGCTGAGTTTAGTGTTGTTGAACTAATTGCTAAATAAATAGGTGCGCTTAACACTACATACGTGGTATTTCTCTTTTCTTATGTAGTAAGCTACGTTAATACCCTGATGTGACAGCAGTCAGGATTTGTGCCTGGAGAATTGTTAACGTTTATAGGTTGTTAAGTTTTTTTTATAAAAGTCAGCAAATTATTATACTATAATGTATAACTTTTGGAATAATTCAATAAGCACTCAACAGAGTGCATATGGCGGGTCTTCAAACATGAATTGTGCCTTGACACCTTTCATGAGACGAAATAATATGATATTAGTAGATGCTGTTAGTGTTCAGAGTGACAGGTCTTGTATCAAGTATGAACCTGGAGCTAGAGGACTCCTTCAAGAGATGGTAACTTAAATAGATTACTTGGTTTATGTTTTCGGAGTGAATTACCTTGATCAGTGACTCGAATGCGCTAAGACTTTAAATGTAACTGTCACATAGTTTTAGGAAATGTCTTTTTTGTATTCCTTTATTCGAATATCACTACTGACATCAAGACATAAATAAATTTATTGGATTCTTGTAAAATAGGCAGCGTTTTTACAAATTTAATTCTTATTGGTGATGCTGCTAGTTAGCGAGATTTCTGTGACAAGATTCTGATAGGAAAATTATTCTAATTAAAAAATATCGAATAAGAATTATCACAATGGACCTTAAACAGGTATACTGAAAATTATTGAAGCATTGAAATATTCACGAGACTTTTACATATCAAGAGAACCAAGTAGTTCCACATACACTGAATGCGTAAGCAATAAGCTACATATTTCAAACACACTTTTCATTTCCACAATATTTTCAGTTTCGTTTCCCAGATATTTTTATGTTGAACTTATTATTTATTTGACAACAAACAAACGCACCTTGTTACGTACGCGCCACATATTAAGAAATACTTATATGAACATCACCGGGGCAACATCGTTGTATGGATAAAATATATAACGAGTGACGCCGCTGAATCTACGGAACGAACACCAAGCGTGTGAACCAGAAGATTCCTGATACCACACAAGCAATGGTAT